TAATAAACATGCTTTTAGTCCCGGTGTCCTCATATGAGGACATGTATGAAATCAACGTCCTGTTTCGTAACAGAAAGTCATATTTTGATTTGAAACCCCATAACATTTTCCTGAGATGTTGATTTATGACACACAGTTTAAAAATTTGTCTGATTTAAATGATTATTACAAAATATTATCATATTTCCATAAGAGTGTCACTAAATTAATTTCAGACATTTTTGAAGACCAAGGAGAGGGAGTGGTCATGGTGAAACATCCAAACATTTAGTATCTCTGAAAAGCCCTGAATGTGCTCTGTACAGGACATTCAGACTTAAAACTGTGGCATGTACAGTCTCAGAGAAATTCACAAAAATATAATGTCCTCATATGAGGCCGCAGGGTCTTAAGAGCATAATATGATACATGTGTGTGTGCATGTATGAAGAGATCAAACTATCAGTGTAAATTATGACATTTTGAAATTTGTGCATTATGTAAGGTGCACAGTCAGAGTTGGTTTATGAATGTCTGTCAATATAAAATTGGAAAAAAGCATGAGTTGTGAAATATTTTGAGCATAAGATCTCTCTTTCTAGTAAATAATTGGTGCATTTTTATTTTTTTACAGACATAAGCTGCTGACAACGATTACAGGAACAAGCAAGTTCAGCTTTCACTCAGCATAATGCAAAGAGTTACAGGACATTAAAGGTTTTTGCAGCTTTAAGATTGCCTAATGAAGGGTTCAAAAACCTTTAGGCCTATAGCCCAGAGTTCAACCTACTGTGTCACACCATCTACAGACAAAACATCCAACAAAGTGTTGTAAATTGTTGTAGTAGTTCAAAGCACTTTGTTACTGCAGGTACAGCAACACTTGTTTTTATTAGAGTTACTACTCAAGACAAAGGACATTTTTAAAGATATTTTATGCTTCCACATTCTTCATAAGTTATGACCATGTAATATTCAATAAGAAATTGGCATTTTTTTATTCATAATCAAAATACTTTTTACAGCTGTTTTGTAACAGTGTAGAATCATGTTATGAAATGTTATGAAATATATTAGTCAAATTCATTCACCTTCAGTGTGTCCAGAGTGGATGTTTGAAATCAGCACTAAAAACACAAAAATCTCATTACAGTGTCAACATGGAGCTGATAATATATATTATACATCAGATATAATTTATTCTTCTTTCTTTGCTTGTGAAACACCATACTTTTACTCTCAAATATTTCTCAGCTTCACAACACAAAAATTTTATTTCTCCAAAGGTTTCTAAGGTTTTCTTAAGATTTACACAAGTTAATCACAGGTGTTTCCAGATAAGCACTGAAAAATCTGTTTGATATTTTATAGTTTTCATCATTAAAGCAGAGAGAACTTGAACTTGTTTAGGGAACTTGTTTAAGGAAGCAACCAGTGTGTTCACAAGCAGATGGATGAATTATGAATCTTCCTTCGTACTTACTAGTGAATATTTACTTAAAGCATCAGACAGTAAACTGTGCAAAAGAAACCAACAGAACTGATTCTACAAACACCATTAAACAGCACAAATTCCAATGACTGAACAGAGAGACTGACATACAACACTCAATTTATCTTTTACAAACAGCACTAACTTCCTCTTCCTCTCTCAAGCTCATCTTTCACTCATATAACATGGACTAGAGCTGGATTTGAAACTCAGAGCAACAAGAAAAGACATAAATAAGGAACACAAAATTACTCGCTCCTTTACATAATATAAAAGCCATTATCATCCATTTAACTATATTCAGATAAAATAATACTCACAGAGCACAAGAGGAAGTTCCATACTGACCGAATGATGACAGACGGTTAAAGACACAGACTGTGTTAAAGCCTCAAGACTTCCTGAAACCTGCAGTCAGATCTTTAGGAACATCGTGACAGAAGTTTAATGAACAAGGAAACTTAAACAATACTTTGATCTTTATTGTAATTATAATATTACCTGTATTTATAAAAGGACCAGGGGCCTCATTTATCAACAGTGCGTATGCACAGATGTGTGCGTAATGAGTGCGTAAGAACAGTTTCACGCAGAGTGTGGGATCTACCAACTTGTACTTATATGTAGAAATGTGTGTAAATATAAGCACACCTCTCAGCATGCTTATGCAGAGAATCTAGTGGTAGAACAGCGACACTACACATAAAAAGCATTTAAGAGTGTCACAGTATGCATTAAGCAATCCACATATGTCCTGTGTTTCCTTTAATTATAAAACACGCAATTTATCATTAGTCTGGTTTTAAACAGACAATTTGCGTAATTGGTGTCAAACCCTATAAAACACAGCTGTGACAAATGTTTATCTCAGTGCAATGGCTTATCTTGCGTTATTGGAAGACTTGGCAAACAATGCGCTCCGCATAGAACGCGTTTTCAAAGACCGCGCTGAGAGTGAGAGCATATACATTCACGGGATTTATAAAGGGAGGTGTTGTCACCATATATGGTTAATTGGAGGCGTTTCCGAATGTAAATGTCCGTGAACGTGAACGAGCATGTTACTTACGCACATGTGGGATTTATCAACAATGATTGCTTACTCATGTGCGTAAGAACTGCTTGAGCACATTTGATAAATACGGATTTTCTTGTACTTAGGCACATTCTAAATTTCATTCGTAAAATATTGAACCTTTTCTATGCATTGTTGATAAATGAGGCCCAGGAACTAGTAAAAAAAAAAAGGCTCCTCCCACGTTGGTTAATGAAACAGAGGGTGCACAAAATATTTGTCTGTGATTATAATATGCTTTCCCTTAGTTGATAAAATATGATTTTTGCAAAGAAAATTGATTTAAAGTGCATAATTATCATTAACAGTCATGAAATGTTCCCTAATTTGTAGAATGATATTTAACTGCGAGACTGAGGGTGAAAGAGGAAGCACTGGAAGATAAAACTGTTTGAAGAAGTGCTCACATTAGATTGTGTGGGTGTGTGCACGTCTGCATGCTTAAAGAGTTAGTTCACCCAAAAATGAAATGTGTTCGTCACTTCTGAGCGGTGCATGCGCAAAGCCGACCTCATACGTCATCCGCCCGGAGCTGCTTCCATTTACAACAGTGAGCGCAAGCCAGATTAAAGTGATTATTAAGTTTTGAACATGGATATTGTTCTTACAAAAACGCATCGATTCGCTACAGGAGGCCTTTGTTCACCCTCCGGAGC